GTTGGTTGTATGAGAAGGTGACTCTATCTGAAAAAAAAAAAAAAAAAAAAAAATATGAAAAAACCGACAGGGAGAAAGCTTTCAGTCGTAGTTAAAACTATAACTGAATTTCCGCGAATTTTTTTGCTTTATTTAAATTTCGACGTTTAACTGATATTTTATAACTGGTATTTTTTCTGCACCTCGCTTCTGACACGTTATTCATATTCTAAATAGTATGCAATCAATATATATCATTTCCTTCAGAGACTTTCATCGCGTTATAAGAGGACAGTAGCAATCTTTTACTCTCGTTACACAGAGATCTACTCTATAAATAACTGAACTACGGTGCAGTTTCTGAGAATTTCCAAGTCAGATTGCTTGATAATATTCTGCCTACTTTGATTCGTACGAATGATTCAATTAGTGAATGAAATCTAAATAAGAATTCATTCGAGAGGCATTTAACACTGTTACTATAGACGTTCCACATATCTGATCCTGCATACTTTCTGTGTGCCATAGTACTCAAGAATCACTCGCAAAGGAAGTAGCAAAAAACATTCACAAATCCATCCAAATGTATCTTTCAAATTAAAATATATTTTCCTCCCACATACCGTCAGCATTCGCCCTGTAAAAAATCAATTTGCAATCAATTTCTAAATTTATGAACGTTTCACTAACGATGATTAACCTGTCACGAAAGTGAAAAAGACCGCGACTAATCGTTACATCCCCGGATTAATTACAATAAACATAAATTTGCTCGATACGATCTTGAACACCTCGGGAAAGGTACGTAGCTCTCTCTTCTGAAAGTAAAAAAAAAATAAAATAAAGTAAAATAATAATAATAAATAATTGCAATATTGCGTTCGCTGTTCACGTTGCGGCCCTGTGCATTAACCTAATGACGGTAATTACCACCGTGGACAATTATTCTTACGATATTTTACGGAAACGTGTATCACGATGGTGCGTCATAATGGAAATTTAATCGTGCAAGAAAAGGAGAAAAAAAAAAACAAAATTCGACGCAGCGATAGTCTCGCCTTTCAATTTCCTCGCGTTTAAACGCCGCGGAGAATTCGATAAATTTGGAACAACCGGGCACGGCAGAAATTCCGTGGGATAAATGAAAGACAAAAACGAACAGCGGCGAACGCATGACCCAGTTGAAACAATTTATCAGTGTTACAAAGCGTACCCGCTCTAAAAAGAGAGAGAGAGAGAGAGAGAGAAAAAAAAGGATAAATAACAGATAACAAGAGATAAGCTGCAGGCCAATTTATCGCTACCGTCAACAGTTTTCCCAGAATGCAACGTGCAAATGAAACTTTATGCAGAGGCATCGTAACAGCCGCGTACGCAAATAAGAAGCACGACTCCCCGCCGCGTCGTACTAATGAATTTTACTTACAAACCAGTTTCTCAACGATTCATCGAGAACGATACCGATACGCGGAAACGAAAATTATGTACTTTCTACGCGCCGCGGATCTTCCACTGTGTCAGCCACTTTCCTGTTAAATGCCTCTTATGACACACGTTTATCTTTAGAATACGTCGCTATGCAAACACACTTTCGACTCGTTTCGACCAGCCTCTTTCTGTCGATCTCAGATAGAAGGTAGAACGTAACTAAAGGTGCATTGAATTATTCCGTAACTAAAGGTCCATCGTTGTTTATTCGTTATGAATTTCGTATACACGTTCGATCTTTACAGGAACGAGTCTCAAATCTGATTTGATGCGCGAGGTACTTTCGATCGAAGATTTTCTAGTTTTTTTTTTTTTTTTTTTTGCAATTTTTGTCAACTGCTACAGTTGAATAAAAAAGAAAATAATGCAATTCCAATGAAGTAGAGAAGGAACGAATGCGTGCACAACCGTTTTAATTCGATATCGCGTACTGTATTAGCAAATGTGCTAGAACTACAATTGGCAGAGCCTCTCCTTCACCCAGTAGTGACATTAGAACCACGTGACTTGCGATCGAGCACGCAAGCGCAGATGATCGAGCGGGCGGTTTACTGCCAATCTCGCACGTGTGTTCAAATGAATCTAGTTGCGTTCCAGTGGTTTCCAGTATCTACAAAGAATTTCTAGTACTGTCGCCGGTTCGTTCGTTGTGGTCAAGCAATTCAGTGAAAGCTAAAGCACTGTGAAACGCGGAATCGGTGAGTAAACGTAGGGAACCTAACGATTCGAGCACTAATGCAAAACAAAAGTACGACGAGCCCGTGACCGGCCCACGTGCGGTGAGAATATCTGTTTTACATACGTGACACGAATCGCCGCGAGCTGATGTGTAATGCGTGTTGCGTAGACGTCACGGAATCGCAAGAAAATTTATGCAGCATTCAGTTTTCTTAGTGATAGATGTGCACTTGTTATAAAACTGAGTAGCAACTACCACACTGTCGTTCTTTTTTCCTTTTTTTCTTTTCCTTCGTGTTGTCCTCGGTGTTGATAAAATTAGTCATTGCCGACATTTAATATTGTTCAATTTGCTAAACGTGAGCCTGTGTGTCTCGGTTTACTTCCGATAAATATTTCTGTCGTCTCATTCTTGGGACGGAACCTCGTTCGTTGCACGAACGCCTCTGGATAAGAGAAGTTGACGCATGCGATAGGAGATAATTTTTGTTTGATAAATAATTTGTAACATCTCGTTGTAGAAGGTAAGATATTGGCACGATATTATTAAATGTGTTCCCTAAGCTAATCTTTTGTTCTCAAGTGTTTGTGTACTATATTGAATTTCAAGGTCGGCCTTGCCAATACCGTGTATATAATCTACTCTACGCACGTACCAAAATATCTCGCCCTTGTACAAAAACTGAATGTTCGTTCCAAACATTCGCTAAAGAAAAACTTGAGAACAGTGGCTCTTACTTTGTGTGAAAATTCATCGCGTTATCATTTAGAAATTTATGTATTATTTCCAACTAATAAGATTTCTACGTTGAATATTACATGTATACGTGTTGTATATATGATTTATATATACATGTACGATAGGTATGAACGAAAAAGTATTTAATTCTTGTTATTAATATCTATTTATTATCAACTAATATTAAATTTGTTTTATGCTGTATTTACAGATTGATCCCTTGTGAATATTTTGTTGTTAATGTGAAATATTATTATTTCACCTCATGTGCATGGGAAACATATTTCATGGAAGTTTCTTTGTATTTATTACAGATCATTGGTTTCAAAAAATGGTATCATCAATAACAGTGGAAAATGAAAAAGCTAACCCACAAAGAAAGCCTACCGCCGTGGGTATTGGTCCAGGTAACTATCGTTTAGTTGGTTGGGATATGGACACTACAGGCAAGAAAGTTATAGACGAAATATGCCAAATAGCTGGATACACATCTAGTTCTTCGTATTCTCAGTATGTGATGCCGTATAAAGATCTTAACCCTCCAGCCATGAAAAGACACAATATGAAAATTGTAACTATTGGAAAGTTCCGTGTCCTCAAAGACAATAAAACTAATAAGGTAATTGACAAGTGTCATTAATACTATAGAATAAATATTTGATCAGCATTTGACTGTATTTGTATTCTTTTTTTTTTTCAGGCACTAAAAACAAAAAGTGAGGTGTCTGCGTTAACAGATTTTTTAACGTGGCTCTCATCTATAAGAGGAGATGCGGCAAATGGTATAATATTAGTTTATCACGAACCACGTAAAGTGATTCCTGCTATGTTAATCGAATCTTTAAAAAAATATAACCTTCTGGAAAAATTTAAACAAATTGTAAAGGGATTCGCAAATGGATTTAATATTGCTGAAACAAAATGTGCAGGCACTGTACGTGCATTTACCCTTAGAACATTATCTCAGAGTTTATTTGACGAAGTAAGCAAAGTTTCTTTTGCTTGACAAATATATCATTATTTTCCTGATAAATATCAATATATCAATATTTTTGACACGTTATCATTTATTGTTGAAGGAAAAGCGATTAGACAATGCAAAAGACAGAGCATGTCTGGCTTTACAAATAGTACAACATTTAAGTTCACTGGAGGTTATAAAAGAAAATGAAACAAATGGTAGTGGTGATAGCGATAGTGCCATGAAAAACACTGTTGAATTTATTAGAGAATTTGTTCAATCAGTAGAGATAGAAGAACAAGAATATGCAGGTATATAAATATCAGTAAATTAGGAATTACGTTCACGTGTTTCGATTATACAAAATTACACTCTATAATATTCGATTTTATTTCAGAATTAAAAGTGATATTTGAACGTCAAAACAGTTTGAGACCAATTTTTGTATCTCTGTTCCGTGTGAATCGTCGGGAACGACAACATGCTAGTCCTTTACGTCGATTACTCGCTGAAGCAGGAATAGAATATGCGCAATTAGAAGTCTGTATAAATTAAACAAAATCATTACTTTCAATCGAAGTCTATCGTAAAGTCATTAGTTAAACTAACGAGGTCCTTTAACGCCAATTTGACTTGCGTTACAGGAAGCCTGGAATAATGGAAAGAAAGAAGGCTTGGAGAAATTAATCAAGGAAAAATTAACTACAACTGACGAGAAGAAAATTACAGATTTATTAGCTGTACTTGAAGATCACTTCGACCCCGATAAGAAATCAAAGTTGAGAATATCAAGAGACAACAAGACTCAGATAAAAATCGAAAAGTCTAGCAACGATGATAAAGAAAATAATAAGTGTGACTCGGGTACCGAAAGTCCGGACACGACCATGTCTAATTCACCGCTTAAGATTAAATCCGAATCTGAGAACAGTACGCTTATCGCAGAAGAATAAGAATTAGGCAGCTCAATTCTCTTTCTCAGTACCTTTTAACTAATTATAAGAATATTGTTATCAGTAACTGAGTTTATAACCATTCCGTTCATTCTTATCATTACGTTATTCTAGTGTGATAAAGTATGAGTGTTATTTGTTGCAGTATTGTATTTTTTATTTTCGTCATAACGAAGTATATATTGTATTCTTGAAAAATACGAAACTTGACTTAAATTAAAATTATGTACAAATAACACTTCATTTATTATTATTATTATTATTATTATTATATTATTATTATTGTTATTATTATTATTATTATTATTTTTAGTTTATGATCGAGAAATATTTAGTGCTTGTTTCGTTTAACGATTAATTTTATGATCATTGATTTTTATTTAATCAGATTAACAAGTTGTAACAAGTTGCAATTGTTTAGAGACTGTTAGAGACATACATAGAAATATATTTGGACGCTAAAGATTTTCGTTTCTCATCGTTTCTAAGATTAGTATATAATATATATATTTTCTTTGCTTTTTTTTTTGTTTTTTACTTGATGCTAGTGAGATTTACGTATAAAGTAGTGATAATTGAAGGAAGATATATAGTGATATATTTTTGTATGTCGAAAGTTTGATAAAGCAAATGATGCATCGAAATGTTGCATTTAAAAATTAAATTTTGTTGTACCGATACAATTGAATAAAGACTTTGAATTGCAACTTCCCGTTCCGATCATTAACATATGTTTGCAGCATTTCCATTTCTACTCGTCGTTTCTTCTCGTCTTTTCCACATTATTTTTGTCGATGAATATTACAAAATATAATTTGCAGCCAAGTGTGAATACATCACGCGATATCGCTCTACGTTCTGAAAACGACGATAACGGAATGTTGGAAGGAAAAACACAGAAAACTACAGCGTGACTTCTCTCTGTTATAAAGCACATCTCGAATCGGTACAACCATCGAGATAAAGTCAGAAATGAATTAAATATACGAATGCCTATGCAGTGGACCGTTGTATCCGCTTATGGACTTCCATAAAGCATGCCAAACGCCTCGAAGCGTAAACTGGCCGGCGCGCCACGTAGGATGCAGAAGATCAGAGAAGTATTCACCAGCTAAGAAAAGTATCAACGCGCGTGGATCCCTTTAGAATTAGGCAAAGCTCAACTGTTGGACAAAATTTTACGAAAGCAACTTGTCAAAGCATTCACCGGGTCCTTCTAGTTAACCGATAGAGCATGAAATGCAAAGGATTTTTCTTGCAATTCTTCCACGAGTCATTCAACTATGACACAGCATGCCGGACCGTTCGAGACTTTAGTTTTAAATTGTAAAATTTTGATTTTTACGTGTTTCCTATTTTTCTTAAACTTTCTTGAAACAATCAAAGTTTCTAAATTTTTAAATTGTGTGTCGCGAGTTTCTTAAAAACGTGATATAAATATTAGCTTTTCTTTTCAATCTAACCGTTGTTTCATTTTTTTTTACGTTTAATTCGCGGGAAAGGACTACAATAAAACCTGCCGATTCATGTACGCGACTTAATTAATCATAGTACAAATATAATAAATACAGAGGATGACAGCGATGTTTAAAAAACATAAATCTACCAATATTTTGATAAATATCTGCGTGCATTCTGTTCGGACGCACAACTTTGTCTTATTAATTTCTTTTCATGGACGGCGAACCGTAAAGTACAAAATACACTTGCTGCATCGCGATTACTGTAACAGGCAGCGAAAAGGAAATTGCTGTTACTGGGAGGCTCGTTAATTGAGCGGCCGTAACCATAAGAAAGTACCGCGATAATAAATAATCCGATGATAGTGGTGTTTGTTAAATCTTTTGTTGCTGCAGAGGATCGGAATGTTAATGAGATAAAGGGTCAAGAAATAAATTGAATTTCAAGATCTGTTACTAACAAACGCGGAACGCTTGCTCCTGGTAGGTGTGTCGTAGATCAACGTAGTATCAAAGCATTATAAAGGAATATTAAATTGAATATTTCCATAGTGTTCAAATTTCTCGTGGAATGACGTTCGGTATAATGCGAGTGCACAAGCGTTCTGTTATTATGAAAGTATAGTGTAATGTTCAATTTCTAGCGAGTCTCGAATTCTCCACTTCCGAATCTCTATTCTTCTCCCGTGTAAGATTCACGGAACTGATGCGTGTATGTCGTGGCGAGAGAAAAGCATGAAAAACCAATTACGATAACAACGTACAGATTACATTTCTTTCTGTGAAAAGTCACATGGTAATGGACTATAAAAATTGATCTTACTTTCGGACTTACTTCGGAGTGTTTCAATTAACGAGGACCACGTCTTGATAAGTTTGTAATTTATAATTTGGAGAAAAGAATTAATCTTTCTTTCGAGTTATCCGTGTGTAACCAGTAGGTTTAAGAGAGAGAGAGAAACGCTCGTGAATGTACAGTTTCAGTTTTCATCGTCGACACTTTCGTAATATGCAACTAACGGATACGTTTTCCGTCTTGGAGCGTAACAAACGATAACGGTGAACGATTATTGCTAAAACCTGCAGCGAGTGAAGCCGCGTAACAAACGTAATTACAAAGAGTGCGCGCGTGCCACCGTTGAAACGGATCTCTCGTTAAAGCGAGCGTGCCCGCGGAGAGAATGGAGGTGTGCGCGGCAACGATTCGATTTTCATTAAAAAGCAATCGTTTCGCCGCGTATCGGGGGTCGTTCCCGGGGCCCCGAGCAGACAGAAAACAACGGGAGAGCAATTTGCCCGGAGAATCTCGACGCGTTCGGACGCGTGACATCGCACTGTGCTCTATTAGTCTCAGTCAGTCAGTGACAGGTACAGTACAAACCGGCACGAAAATGACGACCAACGCGGCGTCATTCTCGCTTTTTACGCAGGCATCTGACACGGCTGATGAAAGCAACGATCCTCGATGAGAAATAAAAATGGCGCGACAAGCCTCGAAAACTTTACCCTTTTTTCCCTCACTTCTTCTGCTATACGAACGTTTGTCGAAGCTCGCATAAAATCTCCATCTCTCTTGTCTCTTTGAAAGAACGTCGTAGATTATCAATTTTCAAACATTCGTGGCATCTATCTGACGAAAATTCAAATTCTCAAAATCTGTCGTCCGTTTGCGAACGGATCGCAACGTCGATCCATTAAAAAATGTCGACATCCTCGTCTTTAATCGCTTGTGTGAAATTTTCCAAGTACAGAATAATGACGAAATATTCCAGTAGTAACGAACGTTTCAATAAAAGTCCCTCATTCTCGGTGAAATGAGATCGCAACAATTTTCTTCCCCCCCCCCCCCCCCGTCTCGTTGAAGAAACGAGAGTTTAAGAAAATTGAAAAACCGCTGTTCTAACTTTCTCTCAAAGTTTAATCTGTATCATCTTTTATAAATCCTCCATTATCCGCGAGCACCGACACTGGCAGCGTTTTCAACGTGTTTGATCGACTGCTGGCATTGACCCAAAATCAACGCACCGGAAAAGTCAGCAACCGGCTAAGCAATTCGCCTTTTATGCATGTCAGAATCACGTAATGTTTCGCGATTCCGCCAGTTCACTGAAGCTTCCTAGACGAGAACGCCGCGTTGCCGCCGCGAGTGAAAGAAACCGAAATGAAATTTTGATCCGCAATAAAAATGCTTCACGGGTAACGAACATCTCCATTCTTCGTTAACGATCGTATCCTCTTCCTATTAAAAGATGCACGAGATCGCAAGCTAACCATTGAGAATAATCGATTTCTTCTACATTCACACGTCGCTTCGTATCATCTTCTCGCTGCTTGAGAAATTTGTTCCTTTTAATTTCTTCGTTCGGACGCGAGGAAAGAATTTTACGAATGACCACTACACTTGCTCACGTTACCAAATTTATCCAAAACAGCAGTTATTATCTTCCTTTCGGAAGAAAGACCATTCAAAAAGATTAAAAAAAAAAAAAACTCGAAAGAGAAGTGAGACGCAAAGGGAACACAAACACCGACGAATTTTGGTCGAATTTCGAGCTTACAAGAAACAGGAAGATCGAAGAGAACGCGAACAACAATTGCTGCCACAAACAATTGCAGCATCACCTCTCGAAACTAAATTCTCTCTCAAAGTAAATATCGCGAGCAAGCGAGAAGGAGAGAAGAAAAAGCAACGTGGAAGAGAGAAAAGGAAACTGCCAAACTGTACTATTAAAGCAGCAAAGTACTATGCCTGGTGAAGAAAGATCGAATAGGAGACGCGGTGTCCGCTCGAGGCCGTCACTGCCGGCGAAGAAGACGCGGTAAGGATGGTTGTTAGCGGAGGCAGCAAGCATGCATTAACAGTACTCTGGATGGGCCGGTGGTTCTCTGGTTCCTTGATTTCCGTTCCTCCCCTCCAGGAGACGATACCCGTTGGAGGAACATCTACCACGGAGGGAGAATTCTTGCGTGGTACACGCGCCTCAGTTCATCGGGGATCTTCGTGAAAATTGCATCCCTCTTGCTGTCGGTAAGTGTGCTTCTCGCGTGTTTTTTCGCGTTCAACGACGTTCGTCGACGATAAACAAAGGGATAAGGAAGAGGAAGCATCTCGGCCGTATCATGTGGACCGTCCTGATCGCTGGATTTTGCACGGTGCGTGTCAATCAGCTCCATCATTTAGCATTTCTACACGCGCTCGCGCGAATCACTCGCCAATTGGGATAGTTGTTAATCTCGCGTCTGACACTCGAGACTCGTTTCAGTTCATTTCGTATTCCGAGATACGAATGAATTTCACGACTGTGCGACTGAACCTATTTCCCTTGTACTCCTCGTGCTCCCCGTTTCACTTCTCATTGCCTTTTTCCGAGCTCTCGGATGAAGGAAATTCTGCGTTATTTTCCACCGTGTCTTTTTTTACGTGTTGATAAATTTATGGGGAAACTTGTAAATTCTCGGTGGACTCGGAATAGTAACGATCTTATCCCGTGGCAGAGACGTAAAATTTTATTTGCATAAGAAGACCGGGGATATAATCTTTGGGTGGCGTTCCACGTCGAAATGTTAACTCCGGATCCCTTTTAACGCGTTCGGTGCAAGCGGTATTCTATCAAACTTTTTCAATTCCGACTTCTCTTTTAAATTACTGGTCCAGAAGTCACGGATAATTGAATCGAAATCCAAAGGCTACGCTCGTAGCAACGTGACTCGGATACAGAAAGAAAAAAGAAAAAAATATAATTTATGATACGTTAATTGGT